CTGTTCCCCCTGTGCTCATTAGAGGGACAGACAGGGACAGGGGAGGGGGCAGGCACAGCTGACTCTGGCTCTAGAGAGGTAGAGCCAGCTCTCAATCAGGCAGCGTTGTGGATCCCAGCAATATTGTTGGGAACTTTCCAGGCTGCAGCGTGGCTTTGCACTGTCAGCATATAGTGGGCAGTAGCTTGCTAGATGCTGACTTTGGGTAACAGGAGTACATTAGTAAATGTCCTTCTGTGACACAAAAGAGACAAAAAGCCAAAACAAAAGGTTTAGCTGTAGTTCTCCTCTAACCCTTAGTTTACCTTAATCAGCCCTAATTAACTAATTCTTCCCTTTTCCCCTTAACTATTATTTTCCTGCTGATTTTTTAATTTCTTTTTTTGTTTTATTCACTATTTTTTTCAGTGTCACTTTTAAAAGAAGTGGAAAATTAAACAAAAAGCCTGCATTTGCTTTGTATGAGAATCATAATTTTAGTGTCATTTTAGATGGAAGAAATGATAAGCTAGATAGATAGATTTGTGCAAGACAATATCACCAAAAGAAAGCCTTGCTTGTTATTGCCGAATCAATATACCCATAACAGAAATGTAAAAAGTACTCCGTAGGCCATGTACATCTCTGATTACAAAAATTATACTTTCATTTTTCACACTGGAGATATCCACTTAATAGAGAGTATTTTCCTTCATGTTACCATCTGCCATCTTTTCCTCCATTACACTTCAACATCAGTGAATTGGATCATCTTCTGTTGCCATGGAAACCCCAACTAGTGACACCGCCTTACCTGTAATTGTAGTATTTGAAGCCAGTATCTGTAAATGTAATTGCTACAATATCCCTCTGGATGACTGGAAAAAGAGACTGAAAACTACAGTCAAACTAAACCAAATCCCTCAGTCCTACCATGTAGATCTTGTGTTACCGACATTAGAAGGAGATGCATGGAGAAATATATTGTATGCACTTCTGGACGCACAGACAAAATAGTTCTGCTTTTGACAGACTCTTGGAAGCCCAGCGTATCAGTATTATTACACTGGAGTCAATATGCTTCAATTTAGGCCGTGCTGGCCTGTGCTTGTGAAGAAGCTGTTGGCGGTCATAAATTGACAGTTGCTGTACCTGTAGTTATACAGACAGGAAGATGTAGCTATGAGCTCTCATCAGGCAACGTCAGAAGGTCTCAGACAGATATGTGGTAAAAAGAGAGCAAAGAGAGGAGCTGAATGCTCGGAGAAGGTACTGTGACTGGATGTGGTGTCTGTCAGGTGGCAGTGAAAGACACAATTTAAAAGGTGACATGGGTGACTGCATAATAATGCGCAGTGAGCTGCACCTGTCTGTGCATAGTCTTTGCGGTCTATTTACAAACTATCCACAAGCCCCTTCACCCTGCGAATATCTGTGAATGTTCATTCAGTGCAAATATATGCCAAAACAAAGGTTTTTTTAATTGCCGTTTTTTGTCTTGTAATATTGCATTATGACCACTAGATCATGCTAAGGAGCATAGAAAATAAATACTCACGTCCTATGTTTCTTTAGCTTTATCTAGTGGCCATAATGCAATATTACATGAAAACACTCAAAAATTAATTGCACTTGCAAAGAAAAAAAACAACGTTTGTTTTGGCATATATTTGCACAGAGGCGAAAGGCCCTGTAGATTGTTTATAAATAGACCACTAAGTGTGATATGCCAATGAACTATGAGGGCAAATTTCTAACACAATTTTTCACTAAAGACATCTGTTTAATAGAGTGCTTACTTTCATGTTACCTTCAGCCAACCTTTCTATTTTTGTGTCAGCAAACTAAATGATCTTCTATTGCCAGAGAAAACCCAACAAGACACATTGGGGGGAATTTATCAAAACTGGAGCAGACACAATCTGGAGCAGTTGTCCATGGCAACCAGTTGTCCAGTTTGCTCAGGTAAGATTTGAAAATGAGATAGAAAAGCTGATTGGTTGCAGTGCAAAGTGCTATCAGACAAGTCAAAGCTTTTGAACTATGTGGAAAACTCATACTTCATTATTAAGTCTACAATATAAAAGTATCTGTAAAATGTAGATTCCAGTGTATTTTTCCCATCAGGGAGCCACAGGAGCTTTGTACAGCTTCTCATAGAAGTCAATAGCTGTATGCGGTTATAACGTTGACTAGCATGAACACGCACATATTTATGGGCACACGTCTCACAGCCCCATATGCAGTCTACATTCCGTACACATGCTCAGGGTTATGCAAGCCCAGCATATACCCGCATACAAATATTGACTCCTTGGGAGGTTGTACACAGCACCACTAGCTAACTGGTGGCCAAACTACACTTTAATTTACTCTCTACAGCCGCAGATGGCCATGTGCACGAGACCGATTGCTACTTAGTGATGTTTTACAGAGGTAAAGAGGGACAAATGAGGCAAAATAAGAGAAAGAGAGGTTTGAATTTAAAGGGGGGCAATTCCTTAGGTTGGTTCAGTATGTTTTCAGCGTCTTCTCTTGCAGCAGATAAGCTTTACATTTTTATTTTTTTTTGCAAAATTTTTCATTTTTCCACTATTACTTTTCCTTAATATTAGTGCTGGAAAATACCACCGTACTTTTATAGTTGGATAAAACTTTTATCATAAAAATACTAGATATTCAATCAGAATTTCAGGAGCCTGCACAGTACACACCCACTCAGCTCGCTCATTGAAGACCAGGAAGTGAGCTGCTCTTTTCCTCTAGTGCTGGATTAATGTACGCTGTCGTCCTGACGTCATCTCAATGCGACTGTTATGTCAGCGGTGGAACTTAGAAACTGCCAATAGCAACGTGAACCCGCAGTTCAGTGAAGCGGCACGGTGACCCTATAAACGTTAGGTGACTGAACACGGGGCTGTGTGTGAGAAGATAACCTGGTGTGGTACTCTCAGGGAGCTTGTAGCTCTCCTCCATCCAGCGGCTGGACATGAGCACACAGGTAAGTTCCTATACACTGCGGTGTGAAGTTCATTTCCATGTCCTGTATATGAAGCCCGCTTCTCAGAATGTATTGTCAGATCCAGTCCTACATAAGTCTCGAGTTACAAGCTACCTATCTGTTTCGTTAAATGACTTATTGTTGTAACACTGAATGTTTTGTGTCTTTCACAGTACAGCATCCTCTACAAGCAAGAGCTAGGTAAGAGCCCCACTTCCTAAAATATTCCAGAAATGATGGTGTGGGGATAGCTTCGGTGCTACATATCAAGAACTGGGCTTATTTGTCTTCATATAGTAATTTTTACAATGCTTTTTATTAACAAAAATATGCAAAATCACAGTAAATGTGCTTTAGTTTTCTTGAGGCGTGGTAGGGCCCTTATATAAGCATTAAAAGATTAGCATTAAGCATTAAAAGATTAGAAAACATAACCTCAGGCTCAGTTTTGGGAATTCTTGTGTTAAAGGATTATTGAAGCCTCGGGTGTTTTTGCATAGATCTACTGCTAGCAAGAAGTAGATATATGCAAAAAGTGTTTAAAAAAAACAAACAAACCGATTTCTGAAAAGGGTTAATACTTACCCGTGTCTTCCCCGCGGGCTCCCGTCTGAAAATATGAAAAATCTTATGCGGCCGCAAAGCGCCCACCCCAGCTAGACCCCATACTAGACTTTAAAGGGGAACTCCAGGTTTCTTACCTCTCCTAGGGGGTATTCTACTGCTGGACCACTGCTGTCATTCAAAAAAGCTGTAGCTCCTGCTGTGGTTCTGGCTCGGTGCTATCATGAGTGCATGCCTGTGTTGATTATCTGCCTTTGTGCCTTCGCAGAAAGCTGTATATTCTGTGAATTGTGCGCAGAGTACAAAGAGTTCTTATTCTTGCTCCAGCTGGAGTATAGCTGGATGGATGATGTTCACACAGCACTAGCACCGCTACATGGTGCCAATAAGCCTGTGCTTGTCACCGCCATCTAGGGGAACATATATAAATCGGCCCCATGGGGTGAATCATCTTAGGAGAACTTGCTAAGACAGCAAGAATAACCCTGCGGGGGCTCTAACCTTTCCCTTCTCTATCCAAAGCTTGGAAAAGAAGGCTTGTCTATACATTAACAAATGTCTGACTGTTTTGAGCTTGTCTGGGGGGTTTTTCCCTATGTTATGATTTTGACATCATTATTTATATTTCTGCAGTGAAGTTCCCTTACATTGTACTGCTTGTTTTTTTTCCTAGCCCACAGTGATGCCATATGGTCAGTAGCGTGGGGTAAAAACACAAGTGATGGGTCAGAGACAGTAATCAGTGGTTCCCTGGATGATGTGGTGAAGGTGTGGAAATGGTAAGCTAGGTTGTTGGAAAGATCTTTCACCCTATCCAAAAAGTAAATCATTTTGATGTTTTGAAAAAAAGCAAAAAGACAAGATCAACCAATTTCATTAAGGGGTCTATATATTTTAAAAAAACTTGCATAGCTTTGCCATCCAGTGAAACTGCATGTACATTCTATGCGGGTTAAATAGCTGTTGTGAGAATGTAGTTTCTCTTCTGGTCGAATGTATTTCAATAGGTTTATTTGTAAAGATCAAAGTAATTCTGGAAAATACTGCATTGTGGCCACGAGATGGAGCGGTTCTTTATGAATAAACCTATTAAAAGAGAAGTAACACCAAACCTTCTTTTTTTCTGGGTTTACTTCTCTTTAGGATCACAGGAGTACATTTACTAATGTATTCCTGTGACTCAAAGTCAGCATATAGTGAACTACTGGCCGCTATATGCTAACAGCACAGAGCCATGCTGTAGCAAGAAAGAATACCAACAATATTGTCAGGGGGCCACCCAGCTGCCTGATTAACAGCTGTCTCTGCCTTTCTAGAGCCAGAGTCAGTTGTGCCAGCCCACTCCCCTGTCTAACCTTCCAATGTGTTCTGGAGGAATGGAGAGGGGCGAATCTCTGTGGAGAGTGATGACTGACAGTCACTGATCTCTGAAGGGAGAAGCCATCAGCTGAGTGATTGCTCAGCTCTTGGTATATAGAGCCACAGGCCCCTTTTTATAAGGTAATTTACAAAATAAACATGCCAAGACCTCCATCACTGCAACTATCCATAAATCTGATATTCCTGCAGACAGTATGTTTTATAACTTGATCTAGACCCTTCTGTGTGAATTCGCAGCCCAAGCACATTGGCTTACATGCGGTTATGTGCCGAATGTGTCTTGTATGATCTTGCAGGTCATCTCTTGAATGTATGTCTTTATAGTGCTCTGCAAATTTTACTTTAATAATAATGTCTACGCTAAAGGTGCCCATACACCTTATGATTATCGTACGCTTTTCGTATGCGAACGACTTTTCGTCCGATAATCGTATGTGTGCATTGCAGTGTCCGACCAACAGTACTGTACAATCGTACGACTTTTTATGGTTAAGCATGTTTGAAAATTTTGCTAGATCGTACGATTGTCGTAAGGTTGCTGGCGTTTCCGTCCGTCAAAAGTCGTACGATCTACACTGCGCTAAGGAAAATACTTCAAATCAAGTACCGCATTTTGTCCAGGTGCTTTTCGTTAATTACGGCTAAATTAGTCTTGCGATCATCGGGGCAGGATGGGGCTGCCGTACGAAAATCGTACGACTATTCGATCATCGGGCGAAAAGTTTCGTCCGATAATCGTAAGGTGTATGGGCACCTTAATAATATCAACAATTTGCAATATATGCGTTAATATCAAAAATCCACTACATTAAACATGTATAAGCACTTTTTTGATTAGCAAATGACGGCTTTAAAAATAATACAAGGTTTTATCTTTTCTTGACAAAATGCTGCTTTAGGCACCTTTTATTGCTGACCACGTGTGAAGGCCTGGGCACTTGGTACAAGGCTATTGAAGGCAAGGATGAGCCAGTCTCAACTCTAATATCGCCTTCAGCAGAGACTTAACAAAAAGCCAAGGCCTTCTTCACACATGTGGTCTTTAGAAGAGGTAGTAGTATGGGTGGCTTTAGTGGATTTTAAAGTGTACGGCTATAATCACACAGATGATTATTTAGTAGTCTACTTACTATTTGCTAAATAGTTCAGATATGGCACTACCCTTAAGAAGATTTTGTGTGTAAATCTAAAAAACTGAATGTGTTTCAAAATGTCTCTACTAATGCAGGAGTGGTGAAAAGCTAGAGCTTCAATGGACATTAGAGGGTCACCAGCTGGGGGTGGTGTCTGTGGATGTCAGTCACACTGGAAACGTTGCCGCATCCAGCTCTTTAGATGCACACATTCGCCTCTGGGATCTTGACTCTGGGAAGCAAATGCGTTCCATTGATGCTGGACCAGGTAAGATCTTACTGTGTGTAGTAGATAACAGTTTAGTTTCTAATACAAGATATCATGCACTGTGTCCTGAAGATGTATGTAATTGTCTTTCTGTCCACAGTGGATGCCTGGTCTGTGGCCTTTTCACCAGACTCCCAGCACTTGGCTACGGGAAGTCATGTGGGAAAAGTGAACATCTTTGGTGTGGAGACTGGAAAGAAGGAATACTCACTTGACACCAGAGGCAAATTTATCCTCAGTATTGCTTATGTAAGTATCTATGGTTACATATGTAATACAGGGGGAAAAAATGGCAGCACACCTATTACATTCTTATATTTGACTGTTCCCAACAGAGTCCAGATGGTAAATATCTTGCCAGTGGAGCCATTGATGGAATTATTAACATTTTTGATATTGCAACTGGCAAACTCCTCCACACGCTGGAAGGTAAGAAGGGACTTGCTGAATAAACAGCTATTTGCTTTTTAACCACTTCAGCTCTCAAACCTGTACATCCTCTATGTACCAGAGCCATTTTTACGTTTCTGCTATGGACCTAATTATTTGGCAATAACATTATCATTACTTAAGATAAAGTAATAATATAAATACATATATACAGTATTGTGCAAAAGTTTTAGGCAGGTGTGAAAAAATGCTGTAAAGTAAGAATGCTTTCAGAAATAAAAGTGTCAATAGTTTATTTTTATCAATTAATAAAATGGAAAGTAAATGAAGAGAAATCCACATCAAACCAATATTTGGTGTGACCGCCATTTGCCTGCAATACATCATCAATTCTTCTAGGTATACTTGCACACAGTTTTTGAAGGAACTCAGCAAGTAGGTTGTTACAAACATCATGGAAAACTGACCACAGATCTTCTGCTGCCTCAAATCCTGCTCTCTCTTCATGTAACACCAGACAGACTTGATGTTGAGATCAGGGCTCTGGCGGGGGGGGCCAAACCAACACTTGCAGGACTCCTTGTTCTTTACGCTGAAGATAGATCTTAATGACATTGACTCTGGGGTCATTGTCCTGCTGCAGAATAAATTTGACTGCAAGTCTACATAGAAAAATTGATGCTGTTTTGAAGGCAGGGGATGGTCACACCAAATATTGATTTGCAGTTGATTTACTTTCCATTTTGTTACTTGATAATAATTTAGGGATGCACCGATACAGGTTTATCTTTTGGTGTTTGGCGATACCGAGTACCGATACTTCCGCTAGCAGGAAGCCGAGTGGCGTGTCATTACCCACCATCCGGCTTCTTGATTGCCCAGGAAGCTGGCTCCATGCTGTTTGGCCAGCGTGTTGTTCATTTGAATCCATACTGAGGCTCCTTGGATCCAAAAGGCTCCCTGAATTCCAAGACGCTGGACATTTATTTCCTCCCCCTCCCTCCATGGACTGTCACTGACCTTGGACTAAGAGGTTGTTGAAGTGATTAGCACATAATAATATATTATTAACACTATCACTGGCAGTTTAAATAAGCTCTATGGTCTTAGCCATAACCAAAGAATCTCGTATTTGGAATCGCCCTGATCCTCTGGCACAGGGAATGTTTTCTTTGTTGTCTTAAGAATCCTGTTGGAAGAATCTCAGCCCTTAATAAGTAATTTCACAATTTGCATTTATCCTGTCAACTTCAGGCAATGGGCACCAATACAGAGGATAGAGACTTGACCTGCATCAAACAAAACATTAAGACCGCTGCCTACTTGGAAGTTCTACTGTTTTTTTGTTTTTTTCTGAAAACGTCATCCATTGTGTTGGCATGGTTTTGCTTTCCCCGTTGGCATACCCTTAAATTTGTTTAGAGCCTTACTTAAGATCTCGTGGAATGCCAGTGTATGAGCATGCTGAACTACCTTAGGGCTAGAGGGGAACTTGTGGACGTAGCCACTTGACTTGGTTAGTAATTGACAGTTCAGAAAGTACTTCACATTCTGTTTTAAAGATTAACTATGAGGTGAGTGCTTTTCACTCACCTCATAGTTCTAGCCGACCTCTGACAATGAGACTGTCACAGGTCGGCTCAGTAGATCGGGAAGTGAGCGAACACATACCGGCGTTCGCTCACTTCTCGATCCTGTCACGGCTCTCTGCCGTGACAGGGGAGTGGCTGGATTCCCCCCTCCCCGCTCCGACCCTCCAACGCTGACTGGCGGAACGGACGGGGAAGGGGGGCGGGTACAACTGGCTCTGCCTCTAGGTAGGCAGAGCCAGCTGTCACTCACGCAGCTGGGCGGATCCAGACATAATTGTCGGAAAACTGAATGAATGGATCTACAGGCATAACAGATATTCCAAAAGATTCGGCCAGAGCAAAGCAGCAATGCAAGCCAAACTTTTAACCTTACAGGTGCCTGCTGAGTGCAGGCTGCTGCCACTTGTAGCTCTGCTACTAAAGCTTTAGCTGGATCTTACAGATATGTGTTGTTTGCTAATTCTTTTCAGCTTCAATCTTGTGCTTTTCATGTGAGCATATTACTGCCACCTGTGGTTCCTCGGCGCTGTTAATGTTTGGATGAAACTTAGCACTCATTCACATGACAGCCGGCCCGTGCAGATCCGTGCTGCTTGCACGGCAGTATCGGGCCGCTCCCGGGAAGGACAGGTGATGGGTGTGTTTTGTACACAGCAGCCTGTTCTTCTCTATGGGAGTACACAGCCCTACGCCCACCTGAACTGCATGTCCGTGCGGGTGTCTGTACTCATATGCAGACAGGATGGATCCTGTTTGCGCCCGAGCAGGGACACCCACACCCGTACAGATGGGCTGTTAGTTGGCTGTTAGTCATGTGGATGAGAGCTTAAGGGGTTGTTGCTTCATTTGCAGGCTTATTGTGCCTGTTTGCAATGCCCATTACCAGAATCGTTATATGTATCTATATCTCCATCATACACTTCTTTTTTTTTTTTTTTTTCCTCACCCCCTCTAAAAAATTTAAAAAAAAAAAAAAATCGTATTTATTATTATTTCCTTACAGGACACGCTATGCCTATCAGGTCACTGACATTCTCACCAGACTCCCAGCTGCTAGTGACAGGCTCTGATGATGGATATATAAAGATCTATGATGTGTAAGTTTGGGACTTGGCTGTGCACAATAAAACCAAATGATCTTTAAAGAGAACCTGTCAGAATAGAAATATAGCAATTGTCATTATTGACTTTGTTTTTGAACTTACAAGTTGCAAGACTGACCTCCTCGCTCTCGTTTTACTGTTTACTAAGTCACTGACCTAGAACAATGATTTCACGGCAGCTAGTTGTTGTGAAATATCTATAGACTAGTGTGGGGCTAACATCTCATTTTGCCTCCCTGCCATGTGGTTTTCTGAAAGTAGAAGGGTGATGGCTGCTAAACTTTTATAGTTGAAGATCTGATAGTGGGGAAAGCCAAGCAGATCATTCCTGTTTACCGAAATTACCAATTGTTTATCGAGAACCAATGGTGTACAGTACATATACAGTCTAATATTATAGAAACAATTGTCCAAACTGCATACAGCTATTTCAAGCTTTTTGGGCATCCGTGACGTGTATAGAAACCCTGGCTTATATGGAGTAGGGCTTGGGACCCAACGAGATAGTAGAACACACAAGATAATAGTGTGAAGGGATCTAAATAATTTTAAAAAGTAGCACAGTAAAGCATTCTCACACTCACACACACACACACACACACACACACCCACACACACACACACACACACACACGCACACACACACACACACACACACACACACACACACACTATCCATTACTTTGGTAGGCAATAATGCACTGATTGGCTGCTTTTCAACAAATATTGCTACAAGCACACAAAACAGCTGCTGCAATTTGGAATTAATAAATTCAAGTTTAATAAGTGTCCTTTGATGTGTAGCTGTCATAATATCCTTTTAGTGTAATTATATCTTTTGCATTTTCTTCTAAAACGCATGATTAACCAGCCAGAAATGATTCCCTTCTCTAAAAATCCTACCATGACTAGCTCTTTTTTAATTCTCAAGAGTGTTTTAAAAGGCAGCAGATAATCACCTTTATTTACTTTGCTAAATATGTACTGATGTTGTCAGGCAACATGCCAGTTTAGCTGGTACCCTCAGCGGACATGGCTCCTGGGTCCTGGATGTGGCTTTCTCCCCTGATGATGCTCATTTTGTGTCCAGGTAAGACTCGTAAGAAAATCGCTTTATATTGAGCACATTAGTCTAATAGGAATTCTGGAAGTAATAAGTTATTTCTTATATTTTAACAGCTCTTCTGATAAAAGTGTAAAGGTATGGGATGTCCCCAGCAGAACGTGTGTACATACGTTCTTTGACCACCAAGAACAGGTATGTTATTGTAAAGTGTGACACTCATTAGGATGCTGTGTGTGTCCAGTGCAATTTTTCTGAGCCCCTTTTGATAATAGTGCAGTTAAAAAGAAAAAAAAATAACAGGAAGGAAGAGAATAGTACAGCAGTAATCTTATTTACTGAGACCTAAAAACTTCTTATAATGCACTTATATTTTAAAAACCTTTAGTGACAGGCATATAGTCAGGTTTACTGGCTCCCGTGTCTACTGCTCTTGATCACCAGCTTTAGGAATTGTTCACACCATATGCAGTGCGTTCTGGTCCGATTCTGGCCGGAACACACTACCTCGCATTACGGCCGGCTCACTTTTTTGCCGGGCAGGAGGGGGAGTGGCGTGCCATTGAAGTGAATGGCACCGTAGCCACGCCATCCGCCCACACGGGATCGCAAGGCACATTGTGCCTGCAGTGCGGTCCGGTGCGATCAAAATAGTGCTTGCAGCATTTTGATCGCACCGGACCGCTCTGCAGGCACAATGTGCACGGGATCAGCGGAGGGCGTGGCTATGGTGCCATTCACTTCAATGGCCTGCCATGCCCCATCTGGCCCAGCAAAAAGTGAGCCGGCCGCAATGCGAGGCGGTGCGTTTCGGCCAGAGTCGGACCGGAACGCACTGCATATGGTGTGAACTAACCCTAAGTGATGCAGTCACTTCCTCCTTTCCACATGTTTACCAAAAAGCTCCCCCCACCACCACCTAGGTCACTGATCTCTTTTGTTCGGGACTCGTTTCTGGGATGTTCTTCATCAGCTTGTCACTAAGCCCATGCTTTTAGGTCATAGTTATGTGCATTAGGGTACCATTCAAAAGAATGGCAGCACACCACAACACGCATGTACCTTGCATTATGATAAAGCACACATTTTATTGCATGTTACAGCAATCCAAAGGTGTAAAGCTAGTCAAGACACTCCACTTGCACATACTGTATATACACACTGTAAAGACAGACGTACATAAGTAAATGTCTGTTGAAAACAGTTTAAGTATCACCACGCACGCCAATGGCAAAAGAATAATCTTAGAGCACTCATATATAGGTTTAAAGAGACACTCTGACTTTGCCCATGTATGTGTGTATTTGTAAAGTCTCCCCTTCCCCAAGTTATATTTATTTACCAGTGCTTCCTCCTGCCCCTGCTGCTAGAAAAGTTTGCTTTAATTGCACAAATTTGAGGTTATCTTTATGCACCATTTTTAAGTGAAGGAATTTTGTGGAAAACTACCAGCTGGAAAGAAGTTAAAAAGTATTTAAAATATTTCAACCTAAATTATGGACAGGCAGTCCCCGGGTTACATACAAGATAGGGACTGTAGGTTTGTACTTAAGTTGAATTTGTGTGTAAGTCGGAACAGGTAAATTTTTTAAGTGTAACTCCAGCCAAAAAAACATTTTTTAGTTTTGGATAGCATAGGGAAGGGTCACGTTTGTTTTGCTGTCTGTTCCTGTTGTTCAGAAGATTATAATATAATAAACATTTTTATTTAAAATTACACAGCAAAAACAGTTTTTTCTATTTTTAATTTTATTTTATAAACTTCATTTTTTTTTATTTAACTTTTTTTTACATTTATTTGTCTTTTTTAACTTTATTTTTTTTAAACTTTTTATTTTTTTTTTTTTTAATGCTCTGAGCAATAGCCAGCCTGCTATTGGATATTTCAAATTGCAATAGTCACTAGCAGGCTGGCTATTGCATCTGCCTGCTGTCAATCAGCAGAGGAGGGGCCTGAAGGAGAAAGTTCTCTATCAGGTCCTCCCATGCTAATTGACAGCAGGCAGTGGGTGGGTGCAATAGCCAGCTTGCTATTGGCTATTGCATTTTACAATATCCAATAGCAGGCTGGGTATGGCTCCCAGCCTGCAGATGAAGAGGAGGCAGGGGGCGGGGCAGAGGAGCCGCGGTCAGACAGGGGAGCGGAGGATCGGCCTGACCGGGGGAAGAAGAGACCGGGACAGCGGCGGAATGCAGCGGTCTGTGTCCCTGCTGCCTCCGCCAACACAGGACTGTCTATGTGTAAAAACACAAAATATATGCGGCCTTAAACCACATAAGTGGGAATTTACCAGCAGGTAGTGCAGTGCCATTTCTTGTTTACCCATATTGACCCACCAAGATACATAATAGCGTGTTTCATCTGTTGCTGAACGTCACCTTTTTTTCTCTAATTTTTAAAACCAGACTATAACCCATTGTGTACTGACTTTCTTGCAGGTTTGGGGTGCACAGTACAACCGAAATGGATCTAAAATTGTATCTGTTGGAGATGATCAAGAAATCCATATTTATGATTGTCCCATATAAAACATTCCTTTTCATTGTGAAAGGACTAGCAGAATTACCTGGCTTGGCTGAGTCTTCTATAAACTGTCATCATACCAGATCCTGGATGTACATACGCTTCAGTCAATGAGAGAGAACAAACACCATGCAGTTTTCTGTGAAAATCCATCACTGAAACCAGAAACCTAAGGCATCTTTTGCAAATACTTTTTTTTATAATTATGTTTTGTTAGTGCAAAAGGTATTAAAATTTTTAATTTGTGCCTCCTTTCTCCGTTATTTATGAAAGGAAATGTACACTGATGTTTTTAGCCAGGGCAAAAGAGGGAGCTGGTGGAGAAGCAAGCACATTGTGTTGCTACATGGAGCAGTTTCAAATGGGCCCAACTTTAGGGTGCATTCACAGTGATGCTGTAGTGCTTTAACCCCTTCGTGACCGAGCTAGTTTTCAGTTTCTGTTCATAAATGACTGACACACTTTTTAAATTTTTGCTGTGTGATTCTTCCACGGCAGTAATATACTTTCTTACTAAATGTACCTACACATATTATATATTGTTTTTTAGAGGACAGATAGGTACACATGTTTGATACAATTTATATAGCCCTAACGCCTCACTTATAAAAAAATGAGGAAAAAAAACTAGAAGAAAACACTTTTTCTTTCATTAATGAAACAATCCGTTACATACAAATATGGGAGCACTAAATAGCAATTCCGTATTTGACAGCTGAAAACAGCAGAGAGGTAGCAGAGTGACTCACCTATCTGCTATTCGTTTTGACAGCTGGATAGCCTGATGTTTATGATACATTTCAGGCAGAAATACAAATGTATCTCTGTGCCGGAAATGTATCACTTCTGATCGTCTAGGCACAATCAAAGACCTGTAGGCCCCATTCACACACGAATCAGCCTGCACGTACAGCTCCGTGCGGGGCCGTACCAAGCAGCTGCCGGGAAGGACAGGTGCTGCGTGTAATTAGTACGCAGCCCCCGTCCTTCTCTATAGGGCTACGCGGCCGCACGCTCACCTCAATTGCAGGTCCGTAGGGGTGCGGGTGAGTGTATTCATACCACGCCGGAATGGATCCTGTATGCGTCCGGGCCAGAAAACCCCGAACTCCTACGGACCTGCAACTGAGGTGAGCGTAGGGGGGGGTGTACGGCCGCGTAGCCCCATAGAGAAGGACGGGTGCTGCGTACTAATCAAACGCAGCATCTGTCCTTCCCAAATAATAATCAAAACTCGTGAAAAAGAAGCTTTTACAAGAGCTTAACTATTTCATTAATTAATGCCTCAATACTAAGGCATTCATTAATGAATGGTAATCGCTGAGAATCAGCGGTTACCGGCTTTACAGAGCCTTAAATAACTCATCATGTACAGTGTACGTGGCCAGTCATATAGGCACTTTGTGACGGGACGTACAGTGTACATCTCCCGTCAGGAAGGGGTTAAAGAGGATCTTTACCCATAACTTAATCTCCTAAAGCAGTTACCTTTAATCCATGCCAAGTGTCAAGGTTGCCAGTGTGCTTATTTCAGCTCTTATCCGAATATGCAATGCCTCAAATAGCTAGTGTTATATCTAGTCACATGTGCAGCACCATGGCAACTGCAATCCTAATGAAGGCTAAGGTGGCACCTTCCTTGGCTTAGGCAGGAGTGAGCAACTGTGGCCCTCCTGCTGTGCTTTAACTATAAATCCTAACATGGCTTTGCTTCAGGCAAACATGCCTGTACCTGTCAGTCTTGCAATGGCTCATGGGACATGTAGTGCCATAATAGCTGGAGGCCTGGAGTTTCCCCACCCCTGGCTTAAGGGATAGAAAGTTGCAGTTCCGCTTTAACAGTTGGGTACATGTATTGAACGTTTCATAACCATACTTGCGAATGCTGTTTAGGGGGCATGTGTGGAAAGTGAATCTAAAATAGATCTAGACATGTCTGTGGTTTATGTACAAACATATAATACCCATGTAATAAAGTTTGTCTTCAAATGCAGTAGCAAAAGCATTGGAATTGCACAGCTGCATTAATGTGTATATAATCTTTAAAGAAAATCTTACTGTAACTACCTTTTGGAAGGATTAAAATATGTGCTTCCTTTTCTGCAAAGCATTATGGTATTCCAGAAATCCATGGCACAAGTCTGTGCTTCCTGCCTCCTTCATTTCCATTCTGTTAGACCAGGGCATCTTAAACTGTGGGTCGCGCAAGTGAATGCCAGGGCTGCCATCAGGGGGGGTATGCACAGCACTTGTGTGAGGAGCCTGAGAGGCCCGGGCTCCAAGCAAGATTTTTGTATTATAGTTTAATATGTGCAGTGTAATTATTGTGAGCTTAGCTGGGGCTTAGCATTGTTTCAAGACTGCCAGTGCAGGTCTGCAGCAGTGAAGGAGTTAAATTCATTCACCCTGTGGGTTCTGGAAAGAATATGGCAGCTTTATCTCCTGGCACCCAATCCTGTTATTTGATTGCAGGGCAGTGCTAAGCCTTCTCAAAGATCTCTGAAAAGCATAATAGTCATTTACCATTTCACAGACAGCAGGAATCAACAATTAGCTGGGAAAGGAAGAGAGAGACACGGACCGACGCTGGGAGGGGGATTGAGGAAGAGAGAGACACTGACTGATGCTGGGAGGGGGATTGAGGAAGAGAGAGACACCAACCAACGCTGGCGGGGGGGGGGAGCGGACTGAGAGACACTATCCGACACTGGGGTCACGCAAAAATTTCCTCGGCCGAAAAGGGGTCACGAGTGGAAAAAGTTTAAGAAGGCCTGTGTTAGACCACTAGCCACTGTGAAGTCTATCAGCCTAACAAGTGGTCTAATAATCTCCCCCCTGTAGTTCTATTTCAGCCATTGGGGAAGTGATCACAATCCAGCACACACTGCAGTGGGTGACGTAGAGAAGTCTTGGGGCCACTTACAGCGTGTTCCAGCATGGTTAGCTGCTGGAATGCGCTGGATCGCATTAGAAAATCCTCCCTATGTTCTGGGGTGGGAGTGGGCATAGAAGTCAACGGCACTTCTACCACGCCCCCCTGCCCGCATCAGAAAGTGTGGCACATCAATGCCCGTGTTCCTGGCCAGTACGATCACAAAAAATTGTACAAGCACAACCATAACAAGCAGTGAGGGGCCAGAGATCTGTCACATGTGAAAGCGTATTGGACGTCAAAGATTCTTCAGCCACTGTAGCTTTTAACTACTTGCTGTCTGCCCGTTGTAAATAAACATGTGGACGACAAGCTCCCTCCAGTGGGTGCCATATATATATATATATATATATATATAGCTTTTTAAAAAAATTTCCTGCTCGCGAGCAGAACACACTGCTACTTGTAAACACCTATTAACGGCTGTTACATACAAGCGGTTGGGTGGCTCTATAGCTGTCTGATCGCTTGTACCCTAGCTATCCCCTCTGCAAGACCAACTCATCGGCTCTCAGCATGAAGATCAGAGGGAGTTCAGCACTCTCCCACCTGCTGATCTCCCTTCCGATCTCTGAATGTGGAATTGTTGTGTATTACATCACTTCCGCATTCCTTCTCTGGTTGCTATAGCCAGAGAAGAAGCAGATCTGTGCTTCATCAGCTTCTTTGGGGGTCCCCAGGTGACAGTAGGGGTCCTAGAGACCCATAATGTCTCCATAAAGAGGACCTGTCAGTGTGCCTGTGCTATCACATAGGGTGTTGTTAGCCCCCTATGTGATAGCAATAACATTAAGTGCAAAAACAATTAGCCAAATGTAAAAAAAAACTCCCCCGCCCCCACGTATAGGCACGTACAAAGTAAATATGCGTCGGGTGCACCAACGCTCGAAAAAGACAAGTGCGCTGCACATGTTACATATCACCGTGAACGTCGGAGTGCGAGCAATAATTTTAGGGCCATCAATCACTGATAACACTAAACTGATGAGCGGTAAAAGCTTTTAAAGTGTTGCCTATGGCCAATTTTGGGTATTGTAGTTTTTTGCGGTTTTGCCAGTGCACACAATTTTAAGGCTTGACATGTTTGGTGTCTATTTACCTGACGTGACCCCGACTTTTATATTTTGCCAAAAAAGTGATAAATGTCTCATAATATAATGTAGGGGAAACAGTTTTTTCCCCAAACTTTTTGCTAATGTTTCCTTCACATAGTAAAAAAAATAAAAGCCCCCCAGTGGTGATTAAATACCACAAAAAGAAAGCTTAATCTGTCCCCAAAAAATGATATAAGATGTATATCAGTACAGCGTTGCATGATGGAATAAACGTCAGTCAAAGTACTGCAGTGCTGAACACTGAAAAATGGCCTGGACAAGAAGGGTGTAAACACCCCGGTCATCAAGTGGTTAAAGACAGTGCAGAAACAGGTTTGCCTGAGGACGGGGCCGCATGGTCTCGAAATGTCGCTAAGGAGATGTGTGTTATCTCTGTCAATAAACAGCATTGACTTTAATATCATGGAGTGCGAGTGACTACTTTCATCTATCTACATTTCACTGAGGCATCCGTTGTCACCACCGCACCCACCCAAATGGTTTTGGGTTTTTGTCCGGTCAGGAGTGCGATGGGACAGGAGGATTAACTTTCACATGGGCATTCTGATCAGGTCCATCTGTCAGTTTTCAGGTGGATCTAATGGGAGGCTCAATGTTAGTCCTGTTGGTTATGTGTTTAGATGAAGCACTGAGATCTTGTGGAATGCTGAATTAAGTTTTACTTGCTTAGAAGAACATTACAGGTATGACTATGGCATTGTGAAGAAAAACAGAGAAAATAACTTTCTGTGTATCATAGATAAGCAGGCACATAGCGACTAACATTGCACTACAGCGCCCTCAACAGCTCAAAAGACAAATTACACTCAGTAATACAATCCCTATGTGCTGTTGTATTTCCAACAAGTCTGTGGGCATCTGGATCTAAACGGGCAGGCAGGATGGGCATTGCAAGATGGAGGAAAAAAACTGGATGGACATGGATGTCACGACTGTAACATGCATTCTGATCATCAGGGGATGTATGCACAGATCCCCTCCTGATTGGGCTGAGGGAAAAGGGCAATAGAGTGGCTGCTAGCCTGAGCTATTGAGCTGTGGAATTATCAGTCAGACTAGCATGCTAAGAATAGGAGCTCAGATATACTGTACTGCATCAAACCAAAATCATACCCATGATCGGGTCTGAGGGTTTGACTAGGACAATATCAGATTAATTTCCTAGCAGTTGCCAAGTCACTAACTCAGTCTCAATCTATAGCCCACGCTGACGTAAATGATTACAATTGGCTACCGCTTAACACCAAACACGCCCCCACCTGTTGGACACGTGGATACATCGCCACGCAATTAGGGTCTTACACTAAGAGGTTTTAGGTGTCCTTCTAGTGCCTGATGCCAATTAATTGGGGGTTACCGCATTGGAATTCGCTAGAGATATAGCATTTCTATGGTGTTCGTTCAGCTAAAAGCGCAGGGGGAAATTTATGTCCGTTTATTCTCATGGCATGACTAGAGCTGCGATAACAAGGCAGGCGGAGGACAGCTCGGTCAGAGGACCTCGAGGCTCAGTGTAGCAGGAGAAGCCGGTTTGGACGAGTCCAGGTAATGATGACAATGGAGGTGAGGGGAGGGAGCGAGCGCTGGTTACCTGGAGATGAGCTGATAGAGAACAGGAGGAGGAGATATAAATAAGAGCGGGGAGTAGTGTTCTTCTAATCAATGCAGAGTAGGGGGTTCATGGACTAGAGAAGAGCACCTATCACCTCTGATCATGCATGGCTCCGGACTCTAATGATGAAGGATTCTGTTGTGAAATATAAACAAATGACCCTGCACGCGAATCGGCCAGTAAATAAGAATTCTGCAATCTCCTATTGCTGCATCTTCCCAGTATTGCTTATTCAGGGATCAGTATTTACATTGTAGCTGACTGTTTCAGATGTGCAGTTATTGTGTTACATTGTATAGATCTACACTGGGCTGTTGTATTCTGACATAATACCAGGACACTGGCTACCTTGCAAAAGTCCATTTAAAGGAGAACTATGAGATGAGTGATTTCCACTCACCTCATAGTTCTAAGCCGACCTGTGACAATGAGACTGTCACAGGTCGGCTCAGTAGATCGGGAGGTGAACGTAACTTTTGTCGAATGGAGGGGTGCCAGGCTGGGCCACACGCTGGTCAAAATTTGAGTCATCAGGACCCAGCCTAAATTCAACTAGTGTATGACCATCTTAAAGACCAGGGGTGATCCTGCCAGTAATATATGTCCTGTCCTAGGGTAACAATGTTACATTTATATAGATACAGTACAATGAGCGTTGTCTCCCTAGGACAGGAAGTGTTACTGGCATGATCTCAATGTAACCATAAAGGAAAGAGCACCTGAGAAAAAAGAAAACTACTGCCGCCGCCCCATCCTAGCACTTGTAGGCTGCATGTATGACATTTGTGTTCTTGGGTTTAAAGACACTTTAATTACAGGGTACACGTATAAAGAGAATGGTTGTGCTCGTTTTTGTCTAGGGAGCTAAAATAACCCAAACCACAATCCCGGGTGGCTGCTAGACTGATCCCTTCAGCCTCGTTCCCACTCTGCTCCAGAGATGGAATGTATAATTTGTCATGAAGAAGATGACGTTCTGTTTTATGGTTCTCTTTCTGCCCTAGATGTCAGCCCCCAACATAAGTCAAGGTCCATTCCCAACTTTTGCTGAGTACACTCTAACACTAACATATAGATGATGTCTGAAATCTGCTCATCCTCGAAAGCACTTTATTGTTTATTTTTGAACTGTCTGCCCGTTGAGATGCCTAAAACTGACCCATGGATGGAGAGTATTGTTTGATATTGTATTTGTTGAGATCAGTCATCGTTTACAACACAATGGGGGGACTTATCAAAACTGGAGCAGACAGTATCTGGAGCAGTTGCCCATGGCAACTAATCAGCATCTCTCTTCAGTTTGCTCAGGTAAGATTTGAAAATGAGACAGAGAAGCTGATTGGTTGCTGTGTAAATCTGCTCCAGATTTTGCCTGCTCCTGTTTTGATAAATTCCCCCCAAAGTCTTTCATATCCACATTCACTTTTATGTAACAACTCACAAGGTGCGTTGTTTGTTTGGTAACTTCATAAATTTAAAGGAGACATGCAGGGAGAGTAAAATATACTCTCCCCATGGCTTAGAGTGAGAGTGGAACACTGCAGTTATCACACGCCGGCTCTGTACCAACAACATGGTTACGTGATCGCTCAGCTCTTGGTGTCTTCAGTGCACATTGGAGGGACAGACAGGGAAGGGGGGCGGGCACAACTACTCTGGCTCTAGAGGGGAAGGACCAGCTTCCAATCAGGACCCTTCCTGGCTAATGTGCGGCTCTGTGCTGTCGGCATATGCGAGGCACAAGAGTACATTCAGAAATGTAGTCCTGTAACCCAAAACAGATGGAAACCCCAAAAAAGGTTTGGCTTTACTTCTCTTTTTTGTTCAAAGGTTTTATTGAAAAGCATCCAGAAAGTGTTGCACTTATAAAAAACATGCACTGGAATGTACGGCACTGCGGTACTGTGCGTTCCAGTGCGGGCAATCACACTGTGGATGAGAGGCGTTTTTGGGGCGCCATTGAAATGAATGGCACTGCAACGCACCTCCCGCAGCAGAATTTGTCAGGTTGAAACTGAAAATGACTTTTCCCACCATAATAATTTTTTTAAAAAATAAATGTATTGTAAGGACATGGCGCTTGAATAGCTTCAGCCGGTGGCAAGATTCCACAGACGGCAGCTGAATGTAAATACAGCAGATAGTGGGCTGATGCAATAGCCAGCCTGCTATTGGCCATTTCAAATTGCAATAGCCAATAGCAGGGTGGCTATTGCACCCACCCACTGATTGCTGTGCCCTCCTCCCAGCATGGAGGAGAGAGCTAGGGGATCCAACCAACTAATGATGTCATCGATTAATTGATTAGTTGGTTGCAGCCCTAGTCTCCTCCTAAGCTACAGCGATGGTATGTTCCTCAGCGTCCTCGCATCCTATACATGATGTATAGAGCGTGATGACTTAGGGACCAAAGATTGCTGCAGTGGAGGGGTAAGACAGGAAGGATCAGTCTGAGAGCAAGCTGGCTCTGAGGATTGGGTTAGTATAACGTTTTTGTTTTATTTTCCAACCTAGAGCAAAACCACCGGTTAACCCTTGCAGTGTGGGGAGTAGCCCCACTGCAAAGGTTAATAAAATGTATACCTGGAGTTCTTCCAAGCCAAGGGCCAATTCAATTCCAAATTTGAAAGGCAACAACAAGAAGGTACACCGGGACAATTTACATCCTGCAACATTTTTATAAACATGGTATTGATAACTGAGGCAGAATAATCTGTCAGTGGCCTTCAATGTAGCGGTGAAGATGGGAAGAGCACAACAAATGGAGGGGAAAGAGAATTCAGTTGACAGAGGAAGGAAATTGGGTACCAGAGAAGAAAATAAAATACAAGGGGAAGTTGGGAAGAGGGGTAGGGACCACGCGTCAAGGTGGGAAAGATACGAGGGGAAAAACGGGTTGGGTTACAGAATCTTTGCTTCTCTTTTAATGTTTGTTTTTGTTTTGCTTCCTCCACATTACTTGGGGGTAGCTAAGAGAAAGTCTCCTATACAAAAGTTTGAAAGTCCTAAAGCTGCTTGTAGATGTTAGCAGGTGTTTGGACCACCACTATCTGACCCCCATCAGACCCCGCGCACGCTGATCGGTTTGTCCTGCGGTTTCCGCTCCAAAATCGCGCATATTTCCGCGCAATGTCACTCAACGTAGCTTGTCCAATGTATTTCAATGAAGCTGTTCACATCTCGCAGCTCAATGTCGTTCAAGCTCGTAGCTCCAACATGAACTATTTTTCGACGGATGTCGCACGATCCGGCCCCAATAGACTCAATGGTGTCGCTCAATGTCCCACATTACCGGCGATATTGCACGACCTTGTCGTGCGATATTGCGCTACAGAAGTGTCACTTTTGCACAGCAATATTGAAGGAATGATGTTGCATCAAGACCGCTTTTGATTGGTTACAGCCCAATGTAGCAGCGACGTAGTCTCTCCCAAGAGTCGCGCTACGTAGCACAGTGATGAGATCATTGCTCTGCCCGCACATGTCAGCATTGTCACGGTCCACATCTGTATGCTGCTGCAGAACCAAACGCTTTGGAAGGAATTGATAAAAAGTGTCTGAGACGAGCTTTGTCTCAACTGGAGCGTAGCCAGTCGGCTTTTACGTGTTCATTTTCTAAGCTATGTGGAAAAAAATTGAAAGAGAGAAGTCGTTTGGTTGCTATGGGAAACCTCACTAGTTGAGATAGAACTTGTCTCAGACACTTTTTTAATTCGACTCTTTGTGGTCAAAAGACGCGAATGTGAATGTTCATTCTGTGCAGATATATGCCAAAACAAACGTTCTTTAGTGTTTTTGCAAGCCAATGGGGTTTTTTTGGGGATTTTTGTGTAATACTGCATGGTGTCCACTAGATGGCACCAAAGAGCATGAAAAATAAGACTCTATCTAATGGCCATAATGCATTATTGTATATAAAAAAACAAAAATGTGAAAATACATTGCCTTGTAAAATAAATAAATGTTCGTTTTGGCATATATCTGCACATAGCAAACGTTCACAGGTATTTGCAGGGCAAAGGGCCCTATGAATTGTCCATAAGTAGTATAAAATGTTACCAGCACACCTATGACTTGTGTCAACAATCCGTCTTCTTCATTCATGCAGACTGTTATTTGACAATAAAGAAGATGGATTGTTGACACTAGTAACGTTTTCTACATATCTGAAGATACACAGCGCCATCCGTGGTTACTACAGCACCCTACTTAGGGGTTGTGGTAAGAAGTGCAGCAGTTCTTCTCTAAGATTTGCGTTTGTGCATAAATAGACCCCCTAGGGCAGTGACAGACAAACTTTGGCCCACCAGCTGTGGTGAAACTACAAATTCTATCATTCATCTGCCTGTGGAAGTCGTGTTGCTGTCAGTCTTGCAGTGCCCAATAGCTTTTTTAGTTTTTTTTTGTTTCCTTTGTGAATGAATAAACGATGCAGAATATTATTTTATATATCGGCCTGGAGTTCAGCTTTATGACTGTGTACACTCATTACAATCTGACTATATAATCTACTTTATTCATACAGGTAGATCCTCCCTCGACATACTCGGTAATACATTTTTGTTGACTAACAGATCATCTATAATCAAAATCAGATTGAGTGTGGACAGCTTTTGCTGCTGATGTTACTATCTATGCCATAGACTTTATTTACTTACCATTGTTCTGGGTTTGTTTTAATGTGCAGATTTGGGTGTTGACTCTTTTATAAAGATGGCTACCCCAAAAGTCCACTGGCTTCTACCAGTTGTTGTGGTCTCCTTTCTCGCGTGTGTTCTTGCCAGAAGAGGACAGGATATGCGTTGTGGAGGTAAGAGCTGAATGGGGAAGAACTATTTCTTATCTTTTCCTTTTTAAATAGGGGGTATGGTTCTCTAAAGTGGTTTTCCACTCTCTTTGATAAAACAGAAAACACTTTTGTTGTTGGTGTCAAGCACGGTGGGGGGTGGGTCGGTTCACCATCTCTTTTAAAGAGCTGATGTGGTGCCCTTTTTCTTCCTGATCGATGTATGATAAGGTCCATACATAGTTTAAATACATATAGGTAATATAGTTCAGCCAGTCCAGTGATTAATAATCCCGGCCACACTAAAGAGCCAGAGGATGGAACCACTATTCTGCCGATATCTCTGCAGCTTCCTGTGCCACCTGCCTGTACTAACCCTACTTATTGGTCTATGAAAGATCATTACATCAGTGGGGAGGCCCTTTTTGTCTTTTTTGTACTTCCTAAGCCTGCCTAAACACCAGTGCCTGAAATACGATAGGATGACATTACTGTACACTGCCAAAAACATTTAAAAAATCTCAGATATTCTTTCCTTTGCACATATATGTCCCGTCTTACTGATAGTGCAGGCATTGTCCATGATGTACACATGAAAAAGAATCCCCCTCCTCTGTGATTATGGACCTGGCCCAGTTGAGGGGTGACTATAGGAAATAATAAAGTGCTGCTTCCTTGGTCACCTACCTCCTCTCAGCCTCCTTACTGGACATTTAAAGGTCAGTGTTCTCCCCTCCTTGTAGCAAGCCCCTAGTGTTTGACAGCAGTAGAGGCTGGTTTGACACTTTTTTTGTCCCTCCCCTTTGCTATCCTAGCGTACAGGACCTTATGGAAAGCTAATATAAAGATAGATTTATGTTCCTCATACTAGCAGTATTTCAAATGCTTTTCATTAATATATTAGTGTTATTTACATGCTGTCCCACCTAAATAAAATGATACATTTTAAGGAATTGATTTTTATTTTAAAATACATAATGGATTTGAAGGAATTTATAAATTAACTGAAGGTGTGTGCTATTGTTTGCCTGTTATTTTGTTGTACTTCAAATTTGCCTTCAGACTGCTAACTGTGCAATGATAGTTTCTTAATACTGAACCGGACGTGCTGACAAAAAGCTTGATACGTAAACCCTTTAATGCTGCTTACATGACCATCAGTGCACAACATAAGAGTACTCCGATGGATCAGATTGCCACACATTTGGGCTTACTAACAGGTCTGAGCAATATGGATACCCACCTATGTGGTATGTGTTACTCCTGCCAAGTGGGAGGATGCGCCTGTGTAGTCTCCATGCATGACAGAATCTTGCTTGATGCATTCAGTCACATTGGTCAAGGGGCTTGATTGTTCGTATTTCCTACCAGTGACATTTTACATCTCTCGCTTAATATACAATCTACTGTTGCAACAGCCATCTCCTTATACTACAAGAATTCTGCTTAATCTGCCTCCTCCTCTCATTTACATAGAAAACCTCTTACAATGGGGGAGGGGGACTCCCAACAAAACAAGTTGAGACAGATGAAGGTAAATAACTAACAATTAATTTATATAGAGTGTAACGTGTTGCTTCATCCTGGCTTGCCAAAATTTGGTGCATGTAAAGCCTCCAGTGAGGCTAGCCTTAGACTAGCGGTCGTCTCACTGAGAACCTGTAACGATACATCTTCCCATCGCTGGTCACCGTTCTGCCGAGACATGCCTCCGTCTTTTGTCTGACTCGGCATGGAATAAAGCATGTATGCAGTGAAATGGGAACAACCAGCACCAGCTCACAGAATTTTCTATCACGGGTGCTCCCCTCCTGGAACTTCTGCATAGCTTAATGGTTGCCTGATCTTTGCTTGAATAACACACTGCTTGCAGAGATCTTGCCATGTATGTGCACCATGACAGCACACAGCAAATAACCAACAAACAGTGAAATAATTGTTACTGCTGGGAATTCAAGAGGTGAACGTGGGAATGAGTACCAACTGCCTCATAATTGTCTACCAGCTTCATATTTTGTTTGCCCTGCATGGTAAACCTATCACAGGCATGTGAATGCGATTTTGTGCAAACGACCTTGTGAAACATTATTGTTCATAGACACCAATGCTTTTCCCATTAAATGCCTTCGATAGTAATGGACCGATCCTTTCAGGTAAGGGAAATGAGTGCAAATAGTCTAAGGAATTAAGATGAGAAAAATAGTTCTACAGGTACATTTTTCTGAAAAATATTTAATACGCATTATCTAATGTTGTGTTTAACTATGAATCCAACATTTCTTCTATGCATGGGTTTATTTATAGGTTGCTTTTAAGAATAGTTTTTTGCTGTATTTTTGTACCAAAAAAGTAAAGATCAGACATTTTAAACTAGATAATCTTTTATCTCATTGCAGGTTTACTAAAACAAAGTCTGTTTGTAAACAATAGACCCTGCAGAAATCATTGGCGGCTAGAGATCATGTGATCTATGCTTCCCAGAATGGAAACTAGGGAATGGCAGTCTGTGTTGTTGTGTTTTTTTTTGTTTTTTTTAATAATCATGGCAGGTTAGAGATGCTTTTCCCCTTCTTCCTTTTTTCTTTCTTTCAATAATACTGCGATGTGCAATCCCCACATGTACCCTTATACTGTATATTCATCTCACCAAATCCCATCACTCTTTGTTTTTCTGGTGTGGAGTAATATTTGCCTCCAGCAATGCAACTTCTGTGGCTATCTACAAAACATGACCTGTTTTGTAGGACTTGAGAACACGTTTGGGAAAAATGTCTCCGTATAACGGTGTTTCCCAAATTTTCTCTCATGTACGGACATGGAGACATTTGTTGGTACCCTTCCATGAAAAAAAAGAACCCAAGATTTTCTCTGAAATAACTTGAAACTGGCCAAAGTAATTATGGCATCTGTCTTTGTTTTTTCATATTTATTAAATATCAGACTTTGCTTTTTTCTTAATTAGGTTATTTTCAATGATAAAGCAAATAAAATGGTATGACTGCACAACCTTTGGAGGCAATCACTGCAAACAAGTGCTCTCTGAAGCTCTCAGTGAGACTTCCGCACCTGCCAACAGGTAGTTTGGCCCACTCCTCTTGAGCAACCTGCTCCATCCGTCTCATGTTTGAAGGGTGCCCTCTTAAGACGGTGTTTTTCAGATCTTTCCATAGATGTTCAATAAAATTCAGATCAGAGTTCATAGAAGACAACTACAGAATAATCTAGTATTTTGTCCTTTTTGACCTGCGACTGAGATCGAACTTTATGACACTGGGCTGTAGGTTTCAATGCAGAATTCCTTGATAGTCTTGAGATTTCCCATGCACCCCATGCCTAATGCAGCAAAGCAGCCCCAAAACATTACTAAGCCTTCTCCCTGTCTCATAGTAGGTATGGTGTTCTTTTATTTGTGAACATAGAGCTGAAAAGCTCTGATATTGTCTCAGTTGTCCAAAGGCCATTTTTCCAGAAGCATTATGGCTTCTAAGTATCATCTGCTTATTTTTATGTTTTCTTTCAACAATGGAATCTTCCTGGATGTTGTTCCTTTGACACCACTGTCACTCAAAAAGTGATAGATGTGTGAGCAGCAGGAGCGTGCAGTCAGGGGAGGCAGAGCCTCACCTAGTATTATGAAGAAAAAAGGTTTCAGCTTCAAGTCTGACGCTGACGGCTTTTTCTCCATTCAGATCGGCTTGTAACAGGTTATACAGCAGGGAAAGCCTCCCCGCTGTGTAACCTGTCAAGGACGGAGCGCTGCCTGTTAATTACAGGCAGCACTGCATCCGGCTGTTGACAGGTAGTTAGGTTACACAGCAGCGGGCTTCCCTACTGGTTGTGTAACCTAACTTGGTGAGGCAAGAGCTGTCACAGCCTCTACTCTGTGTTAGAGGTGTGAGCTCTGTGGATGGCTTGGACCAATGGCAAAGCGCCATTGGTCCAAGCTGTCCAATAAAAAATAAAAATACTGAGGCCATCGATCTCGATGCCTCACCAGTGACGAGCAAGTGAGGGACAGGGAGGCTCCTCCCTGTCTCCGCCCTTCCTCCTCCGAACACAGCTTGGTTACTGAGTGGAGCTAGGGGGTGCCTTACCCAGCACAGAAGGCACGGCACGTCACTGGTGAGCAGACACTAGTGTACCTTGACCTTGCATTGTATCTCTTTGGAAGTTTTCCTTGGCTCCTTGTCTACCATTCGCTCTATCCTTCTGTTCAATCTGGGGTTGATTTTTCTCTTGTGGCCACATCAAGGGAGGTTGGGTACACTCCTATGGACTTAATAATAATAATATTTGTAACTGTAATTACAGGAACATCAAGGTGCTTAGTCATAATCTTATAAATGGTTACATTTGTATTTTTATTATTATAAATAATAATAAAATGGGGATATATAAAATACACAGTTGGATAGGAAACCTGATGCATGACCATTTAGATTATGGATGTTCTGCTTTCTAATATTCAGCCAGTGGGTGGCGCTTAAGAACTAGTGTGTTTATTTTTTTTTTCTCCTCACCTAAACTATCATCTCATTCCCCATTCAGCCCTCCTAAACTCAAATGCACTAGTGCCTAGCTGCCCCCCAGCTACTTACCTTCGTTCCAGAGACGCGGCCTGCTCCTGTTTACATTCTTGGTGGCAAAATTCACTTTAGCGCTGGCCCCACGGAAGATCATGTTGACTTGAATTGGGCTGTATATTGAGATTGGAGTTCTCAGTTCACTGTTCCGTTTAGGTAAGCGAGGACTTTTTTTGATGGTGCACGCTGAAAAGACTTCTGCCACGTCAAATTTTACCACAGAAGTGCACTGAGTCTCTGAAACGAAGGTAAAGGTAAGTAGGCAGTTGTGGTAGGGACTAGTGCAGTTCAGTTTAGGAGGGCTGTGGGAGAGGTTAGCAATAGCTTAGTAAAAGATGCAGCTTTTTACATGTTTTAATCCAGTTTCTCTTGACCTATTGTTGCAGAAAGCCTGTTATGTGCCAAGAGTAATAGTTTAAGCTGAAATTTACACACAAGTTGAAAGAATCCGAACTCTGCCCTTCCCTCTATAGTGCTCCATCTAAGTCAGAAGGGAAGCAACCAGTGATATAACAATCGCATAGCGACCCAGGCGGGTCGCTATGGCATGTGGGGGTGCTGGCTGTCACAGACACAGCTCAGCAGCGGCCACGGCACATTTCCCCTCATTGCCGCTGCGGAGCTGTCGGTGACAGAAAGCCGCTGCGGCAATTGAGGGCGGTGTTCGGAATGGAGGAGGCGGGGCCCGCCTCCTCTTACATCACTGGCCAGCGACCTAAGAGTAGGTGGGGCCAGTGATGTAAGAGAAGGCGGAGCCTGTTGATAGCAGAGGAGGCGGGGCCTGGGGATGGAACAGGAGTCGGGGCCCGGCGACCACAGAGGCGCTGACAGGTAAGAGATCTCAGACCGTGCAGAGCCCACTATAGATGGTCTATGGTGGGCTCTGCAGGGTCACTCTCCGCTGGGGCTCCGCAAGTGGCATAACTAGCAATCACGGAGCCCCATACAAAATTTTGCTATGGGGCCCTGTGATTTCTAGTTACGCCCCTGGAAGCAACTAGTGTTTTTTTTTCTCTCTTGAGAAAGCCTATAGTGCTCTCTCCCCTCTCTCTTATATACAAATAAATCAGACATTACGCATTAGTTTAAAAATGTATAAACTATCCACAACAAAAAACTAAATTTTAAGTCACAAGCAGCATATTCTTCTATTCTTTCTGCATTAAGAAATTGTCTCACTGTAGTTCTGTAGACCATTTAAAGATTGTTTGCCTGCTAATTATGTTGAATCTTTCAATTGTTGACTGTAAAAGGTTTCTTTGTTTTTTGGGGTTTTTTTTCTAAATTTGTCCTGAACTGAAAGTTTTGGAGTTATATACACACACCCACAAAAATGATATATGTTCTTTACTTTGCCATATGGAATAAAGAAAAATTTCTTTTAAACCAGCTTGCCGGGCTCTTGTTGATGAAGTGGAGTGGGAGATTTCACAAGTCAATCCTAAGAAGACCATTAAAAAAGGATCTTTTCGAATAAATCCAGATGGGTCTCAATCAGTCATAGAAGTAAGGCTATAAAGAGCTTCTCCGGTTTTAATTATCTTAATGGCATAAGGGATACTTACTCTAAAAGGGGGGGGGTTTGTTTTTTTGTCTTTTTCTATCTGCTCTTCTGAAAAAAAAGCTTGTTGCATACAGAATTGAATATCTCGAAGCTGAAATTTACATGCACACACTTAACCAATCAGAGGACTGAATTATCCACCTTTCCCTGTCTGCCTTCCTATAGAGGGTCTTATGCTAGCCATACGCACATATATTTATTTCATTAAGTCTGTGGGCTGGATAGATGAATCTCCCCTGCTGGGCTGTTGTGTTCTGACAGGCAGCACCCGTTGCTGTCAGGAAACTGAACAGTGGCTGCAGCTGATTGGCTGCAAGCACTGTTCAGCTGACAATTTTCCAGCTGGCTCCTTTGCCAAAAGTCAATTGAAAAATGTACTTTTGTCATGCTTGGGTGGGGGGGGGGGGGTTTTGCCAGGAGGGCCAGCCACAGCTCAAATTTTGGCCAACTCAAGTGGAGTTAGACAAAATTTCAAGCAGTGTATTTGCAGAGTTCAAAGTGTCTAACGGTAAACTGCTTTTGTTGTGCGGGGTCTTTAGAAAAAGCATAATGCTTCTGTGAATCTAGTGTCAGGGTAAACATAATAAATGCACACTTCCCCACATTGGAACCAGTAAAGCATTGTAACAGTGATCAGTACATCTTTCCCAATGTGACAATGTTCCTTGTTACACCCTGAACATGGGTGTAACATTAGACATGGTACAAAAGGTGAACTTTGAAACAAATGAAATTGTTCCCAAATCACTATAGTTTGTCGTTAAACATAGTCTTTGTTTCAGTGGCTGTTATCAGTTTATCATGCGGCTAAATCCCTACATTCCTGTTGTTGCCATTGTGCAGATCTTCAGGCAAGGCTCTTACAAATAACCACACAATATCTAGCAAACGTTTGTTGAGGACAGGCACAGATTGTCAGCAAAAGTGCAGCAGATATCAGTTCAGCGATGGTGAAAGCTGCACGTTTATTATCGCTGATCTAATCAGTGCCAGATTTTGTTTTCACATTTCTAACGCAGGAGGCAATTTGACACTCTTCTTCCTGAGTGATTTGCCGGGACAATGGAATGCATTGATCAAAGGACAATAAACTGCCTTTGTACCTCATCAGCAATCTGCTGGCAAGCTGTTGGGCAGGTAGCTGCACCTTTGCATTGGTGTTCGGAGCTCCTGTGATATTTGTTTTAGCTGTTCTTCAAAATGCGTGGAACTTCCAAGCTGATGAGGAAACATTTACTATTAAAACATATTTATATTGTGTGGCTATCACACCAAGATGCTGTAACCTGCTAAATGTAACACTACATCTTACATTAAATGAAAGCTCCGCTATTGTTCGGTGACCTGGCAGTGTAGTCTCCGCCTTAAAGATCTAACGCCGTATTCAAACTTTGGAAATGAGTTCCCTACAGCACATATGGGTGAAGCCCAATTCCAGCCAATGCTTCTGTTTCCAGTTTTGGACAGTGAGAAAGGGTTAAACCTTTTGTCAGAGTTTAAAGTCCGTGTTCCCAAGGTTTAGATTGCAAGCTCTGAGGAGCAGAGCCCTCTTAACCATCTTGAATTGTATTGTAAAAATGTTTCAGTGTAGCCTGTCCCCATTAGTGGCATTAACTCGCAATTTCTATTCTGGTTTACACCCATCAAATTCACAGGAAATTGGGAGATTGACTGACTCCCTTTCTGTCCTGACAGGTGTAATATCCGAACCAGGGGCATACGCAGCAGTACAAGGATGACAAGTGTTCTAAACCTGCTCCACTGTGTACAGAACTAAACAAAAGTTTTGGCTGGGGTTGGACTTTAAAATACTTCTAGAAATGTTACGATGTGGTTATCCTACTTGAAGTCAAGCTAAGGTCAGCTTCATATTTCTGTTTCTTGCTGGGCTGCTATAAACACATACTAGTCTGTTATTCATCCATATGGCCCACTCGTATCTGTAGGAGATCCTTTTCTTGTTCCCCAGTCCTAATTATGTACAAAAAAAAATCACACCTACTTTCTCTAATTATCTAATTTAGTCAGCAAATGTGGAGCTAGGATGTGGTGGAAATGATTAATGTACTCCCTACTGTGTTTACTGTAGGCACCCTATGCCAGATCAGAAACTCACCTCATTGAACTTCTGGAGCATGTTTGTGAAAAGATGACGGAATATGGTGAGAAAATAGATCCAGATAGAGACCGCAAAACCTATGTGCGAGTCCTTTCTCGGGATGGCAAACAGTTGGATGCGTCTGCGACTAACATTGAAAAAGAAGTGATTGATAACTTGAAGGCCACAGTGAGTATTACTGATGAAGCACATGATGAAATGCTAATATATAAGTCAAGTACTGGTGAAAACTACTCATTATTATTATTATTATTATTATTATTATTATTATACAGGATTTATATAGTGCCAAATATTTGCGCAGCGCTTTACAAAATGGAGCAGACAGTACAGATACAATTTCAGTACAGTAGGGTTAGGAGGACCCTGCTCGTGAGCACTTACAATTTAGTAGGAGGGACAAGTGATACAAAAGGTAATAATTGTTGAGATGAGATGGGCTTCCCTGAAGAGATGGGTTTTTAGGGATCGTCTGAAGGTGGACAGAGTAGGAGATAAGCGGACAGATTGGGGTAAGGAGTTCCAGAGGATGGGGGACACTCTGTAGAAGTCCTGGAGGTGAGCATGGGAGGAGGCAATTAGAGAGCAGGGGGTCTTGAGAGGATGGTTTGGGTGATATTTAGAGATGAGGTGGGTGATGTGGGTTGGGTCAGAGTTCTTAGTATTTTGAATTTTATTCATTGGGCAATTGGGAGCCAATGGAGGGATTGGCAGAGAGGGGCGGCAGACACTGAATGGTTGGTAAGGTTGATGAGTCTGGCTGCAGCATTCATGATAGACTGAAGGGGGGATACCCTGCTTAGTGGTAGGCCAACAAGGAGGGAGTTACAGTAGTCAAGGTGAGAGATAACAAGGGAGTGAATTAGAAGCTTTGTGGTTTTGTTTGTTAAAAAGAGGCGTATTTTGGAAATGTTACGGAGGTTGAGTCAGCAAGATTTGGAGAGTGATTGGATGTCAGACTATAGACAGACAGATGTGCTAAAATCATAACATACTGCATTTAAAATCTTCATGGTTTATGACCATGTACAAAGGTTACACACAAGGTGTTAACAATTAAATGAAAATAAACTGAACTTGCAACGTTGATGCCACCTAGCTAGCACCTAGATAAAGCTAGTTGTATTGTTCAGCAAAGGAATAACCTGGCCATTTTTATTATATGTAATATCTTTAAAACATAAGGCAAGTATTACAGAAATGATATATAATACACATTTAGAGGAACAGAATAGATTGTAATAACTTGCCATCTCATTCTTCCTTGCCCTTCACTGAGCAACCTGCCTGGAGACAGACGGCCTCTCTGCTAAATATTTGAATTCTGTACAGCATTACACTTGCATGCGGTTCACGGACCCCATTCACTTGAATGGAAAGCCAGGTGACTGCCTTACAGACTGACAAATGAGCTTCGCATTGAAGTGAATAGAATCAGTAACATGCATATCTGGTATCTGCTATGTGTAACTCAGAGGATTTGGGGGCTGGGCAGGCTGCACGGTGAGGCTCTGTTCACACATTCACTAAACATAAAAACAAATACATTTCAATGTATTTTGTTCACACCTACGCGAAGTCCACGCAGTACGAAAACACGCAGCGTGATAAAAAGCCCAAGCGTGATATTCTGGGCGGATTCCGCACAGTCCAGCTAGTGTAGTAGGCGCAAACATGCGGAATCTGCGCATATGTTAGAATTTGCACGTTTCCGTGCCACGCGAACACCGTAAACGCCATGTGTGAATGGAGCCTGAAGATCTCGGAGGAGCAGAGTTACGGCCTGATTCACACCTAGGACGACAGCGGGTTTTTTTTTGCAGCTCGTTTTTGCGTGTACATTAAAGGAGAACTATGAGGTGAGTGAAAGCCACTCAGCCTCATAGTTGGAGCCGACGTGTGACAATGAAACTGTCACACGTCGGCTCAATAGATTGGCAAGTGAGCGAACACATACCGGCGCTCGCTCACTTCTCGATCATCTCCCTGCAGAAAGCTGTGACGGTCAGTCACTGCTCCCTGCTGGGATTCCTCCCCTCTCCGATCATCCAGCTTTAGGTCACGGGTCACTAGGACGCAAGTATATGTCCTCCCGTGACTCTAAAGAGAACTATGGGGAAAAACACTTACCCCATAGTTCTCTTTTAAGTCGCACGTTTTTCTGAGCAGATTGTGACACATTAATGTCAATGGCAAAAAACGCACGCAAAACCAGTTGCAGCGCGTTTCCAAGCATTTCCTGTTGACTCTATGGGGACAAAACGAGCTGTAATTTGCCAAAAAGAAGCCCATGTACTTTCTAGCGACAGACATTTTGCTTATTGTAACAAAACGCTCAGGTGTGAACAGGGGCTATAAGAATGAATTAGATTTTTTTGGGAAATAATTTTGTCACGCTGAATTAGCTGCGACAATACGCTCAGTGTTACCCAGGCCTGCAGGTTTAATATGAACTATTACAGAAATGCCGGAGAGGTCTTTTAAATTGGCAGACCATTTCATTGACGCTGTCCCAGATTGCTTTACTGGTACTTCACCAGTGTGCCAAGTGGTTCAGAGTGACAGTCGTTATAAGATGTAGTTATTGATAAAAGCGGAGTATTTTCTATTGGGAACTGCCAAGATAAGCAGTATCGAGCTTTGTTTTTCATGCATTCATTATAATTGCAAACCTGTGTATGTAACCTGAGCACATGATATGCTAAAAAGTAACTTGCAACTTTCTACCATGTTTCCAAACTTGAAATTTAGACTCGAATCTTGGCTGTGTCCTGCTGAATCAGCTGAAATTCGAACTGTGAATTAACTTTTTAGGGACCAGCTGGCTTGGTTGAAAATTTGCTAGTTGAGCAGTGACTGCATCCAATGAAATGCAGTCGGTATTCAGGCAGCCGCTGGTTCTGGTTGTCTGAATACAATAGCCAGCAGGTGGCAATACCACTATATACACAGTTTAACATGGATAGGTTGAATTAAGTGAGCTGAAAGAGAAATTTAGCCATGCATCGCTTTAGTTCTGCCTGCAGTATTTCAGTAAAGAGAAACCAGGCTAATGCACAGAGATTTTAAATTGTGTTATCAGAAATGTGACATGAAACCCAATGCATAGTCATCCACCAGCATATGGACAGCAGCCTCCTGCTCTTCTCTTTGATGGACACATCCACATATAGTATGATGCAATGCACCCCAGCAGGCATATACTGCACAGGCCTACACTCTTCTCTTTGCTTGTGTACTGTTGTACATAGCAGCCTCTGTTTTTCATTATGTTGAATGTTTAGCATTACCATGGTGATGTATACCAAAGTTTCTAATGGCTCCTAATGTATCGACGTGCTTGAGCCTTTTTTTTCCCATTAGTAATAAAAGGCACAAGTCATTGGCAAAACTCTTCCAAGCAAGATTTCCATAAGGTTAACCTACTTTATAGTTTATTAAGAAACCGAATGCTTCTCCCAGCTGGGAACTGTGACTAGCTCTATTCTTAGAAACGCAATGTGAGTTAGAAGTAGGAGGCGTTTATACACACAGAGCCAGTTCACTGCTCCTTCACTGGTGACATGCCTTGGCTACTGTCTTGAATCCTGACCTTCTCATCTCCTCTGTGCTGAGAGAAATACATTGGTTGCCATCGCTGACTCCTTCTTGGAGTTATTAATTGTTTGGCTCTGCCTTAAATACTCTTAAGTTACTGCTTTGGAACAATGATTCAGGTCGCAAAAGTCAGTTTGGTCCGAACCTAATTTGCTTACTTGTTCCAGGTCACTGATCAGAATGACAACCAGTTGTAGAAGGTCAGCAATGGCAGACTCAATTCCTTCTTTGTACAGGTTTCCTTTAACGCCGCGTTTAAAATGTACAACTACCTAATCCCTATTTTTAGAATTATTTTCTGACCATAACCTTAAAGTGGAACTTTACACTCAAAAATCAATTTCTACTAATGCATCCCTCTATGTATGATGATTAATAATAACATAGACATGTCCGGTGTAAAATGCTGGGATTTTGAAATACTTCCACTTGCCGAGCATTCACTTCCTGCTTTGAAAGGGCAAAATGACTTCAGTTTGGCAAATCAATGCACACTGGGATTGCCTTGTCATCAGCAGAGCATTGCTGGATAATCTCATCTGTAATCTCAGAGAAAGACATTTTACCCCTCGGGGATGATGTGCATGGTCACATGTCCCAGTCACATGTTACTCCTATCTTTAACATAACAACAAACACACCGTTAGAAATGTTTAGTAATGACAATCTACAAACACATACTTCTAGATAATTGCCGGCTTTGTATTCTTTGCATTCCCTATTTCTCTTTTCTTCCCCAATCTTCTGACAGTGGCCATGTTTACTAAGGGCAGATTACTAGCTCTCCCTTCACTTCCTGGATGACTAGACATGTGACATCATCTTAGAGGAGGAAAATGCCTTTCCCTGAGATCTCCTGAGATTACAGATCAGATTTCTCAGCAATGCTCTGCTAAGGCAATCCCAGTGTGCATTGCGTTGGCAAATTGAAGTCATTTTGCCCTTTCAAAGCAGGAAGTGAATACTCTGCAAGTGTAAGTATTTTAGGGCCTGTTCACATGAGTTTCAGCTGCGGATCTGCAGACGCGGTGCTATGTGTTTTTGCCACGTTTTTTAAGCGTTCCAGTTTTTTTTTTAAACAATTAATTTTTTTTGCTGGAGTGGGGCTGTCAGTATGTTAGCTGCAGTGCAGTGCGTTTTTGACGCGTTTTGCATTTCCGGACCGTTTCCTGACCGTACAAAATGTGACATGCAGTATTTTTTCGGTCGTAACCTGAACGGACTTTGCACGTGAGAACTGTAGCCCATAAAACACATAGGGATACATTGGGATGCATTTCTAGTGCAGGAGCGTACGGATCAGGTCAGCACAGAAAACGGACGTCGTGTGAACAGGCCCTTAATATCACAGCATTTTACACCTGACATGTCTATGTTCCTATTAACCATCATACATAGAAGGATGCATTGGTAGAATTTAATTTTTGAGTGTAAATGTCCATTTTAAAAGTAGTCACCTTTAAAGCAGTATTACACTCTCAAACTTTTTTTTTTTTTAATAATGAATTCAGGTCAAACAAATCTATATTGCCCATCAAAGTATTTCTTTAAATTTTTGCCCAAGTACAGTCATCCAGTTATCCTGTTTCCAAACAGCTGACTCCAACTCTCTTAGCTCTGCTTCCCTAAACTTCCTGTCCAATACAATATCACAAGCGACAGCAGCTTTCCAGCTACTAACATGGAGTAAGGAATAGGATACCAGGGCCAGTGCTCAGGGGACCAGCTGATTCTGCACGAAGCTAAAACTTTTAAACACCTGGGAGCAGCATCCATTGTAATCATATGAAATGGCTTAAAAGCCTGGAGACATTTTACTATCACCTTAACCCCTTCGTGACTGACGACGTACAGTGTACGTCGCCAGCATCGGGGATCTAAAGAATCCTACTTACCTTGTTGGTTGGTGGAGCTATCGGCTACCTCTGCTGCTGAGTTATACTGGTACCAACAACTTAACGAGTACTAATACAAATGATTTTTTTTCCTCCTGCTTCCAGTGTGAACACATTGTTGAGGTACATGAAGATGAACTGCTTGAATTCTTTTCTCATGAAACAGAAAACGTAAAGGATAAGCTGTGCAGTACACGTACAGGTAAATGGTTTGCTCAGTGCAATAAAAAATCTCTGTCCTGTCTCTGTCTGTCTCTGTCTGTCTCTGTCTGTCTGTCTGTGTCTGTCTGTCTCTGTCTGTCTGTCTCTCGCTCTGTCTCTCTGTCTGTCTCTCGCTCTCTCTCTCTGTCTCTCGCTCTCTCTCTCTGTCTCTCGCTCTCTCTCTCTGTCTCTCGCTCTCTCTCTGTCTCTCTCTCTCTCTGTCTCTGTCTGTCTCTCGCTCTCTCTCTCTGTCTCTCGCTCTCTCTCTCTGTCTCTCGCTCTCTCTCT